TAAATTAAACTAACTAAAAACATATAACAAAAGAAATAAATAAATAAATAAATGAATAAATGCTACCGCTTATATATACAAAGATAATAATATGAACAGTGAGGCGCAATGAAAATATAATAGAGGCCTTACATCACAAATAAGGCAGCCTAACTAGATAAAATAACGCTAACAAATAATTCAAATTAATAGCAATTAGACTTAATAGATAAAAGATATATGTGTATATATATGATAATAACGTAGGTAATACAACTCAACATGATTGAAGTACATTTCCTAACTCATAATTTTAACAATCCAAGAGCCAATTGCTCTAATATAAACTAATCGCCAAAGCTGTGCTATTTTTCATCCAAAGCATTGACAGCAAAATAAGTTTAGCTATCAGAGTAATTTAGGATATGTCTATGTATCCTTAATTGTTTTCTAACAGTTTTTAATTGCTTCCAGACATAACTTCCCAGCCAGATGAGAAAAAGAAGGCTTGATTGAAGGAAAATGTTAAATAACTCCACCCAAAAACTATGTAAAATGCCACTTGTTATTATAACTTCCTCACAATAACATGGAATGCCTTATTGACATCGAGGGACAAGTAAAAAAAAATTTGTTTGTAAGTACCATAGATATCCAGCAGTAATTCGTGTAATACATAATATTCAATATTCATTTCCAAGTGAAATTATTACGTAGGACATCTTATACGCAATTTAATTTAGGTGTTCGTGAGCAGTAAATCTGACTAAATATTTTCTAATTAATAGGTGGTATTTAGTTAATAAGTATATGAAGATTAATAAATGCATACGGCATTGATATGTCGACTAGTATTAATTACTTAAGAACTTGGCCTTACAATCATCATACTATATGCCAGCTCATTTATATCTATTCAAGATATCCATATACAAGTTTCAGAGTGGCCGCGTAACTTAAATATTCAATCACAATCTTAATCTAAAAAACTGTATCTTATGTCGCAGAATTAAGGGCACAGCCACTGCCCTAGCCAGAGAAGGAGGCAGACGCCAGACAGATCAACTTGAAGAACACGCAAAGCTGTATCAATTGTTATAGAAGAGGCATTGCAATAAGGCTGAGACATGTAAAGTACCATAGCAATAAACTTTATTAAGTGTCATAGTGCCAAAACGAATGTATTTCTCCCCACAAGATTATCCAAGAAAGATCTCACATAGTCTCACAAGCTGAGACACTCAAAAGAAAGAAAGATCGGCAAAGCCAGAAGATCCGACAAACAATATTACGTAATAAACGATATCACGCGATATATAGATATACAGCGGTTGCATAAACAAACGCAGATATCCTCCAAAGAGTAAAGTCATAACAATAAAGCCATAATTCTTAATAATTATTAATTAATATGAATTGGAAAGAAGTGACATATCTGCCAATTCATAATGTGACAATATTTCAATTATATTTCGTAGAATATATCCAATCTAATCCAATGATTGTGCACGAGATACGCAAATTAAATTAGAAAATATAATTCTCGCCGGCAACACGCTTTCTAATATACATCAATATGTTCGCAGTCAATATCTAGCACTATTTGTGATCCACCGATGACAGTCATCAAAGACAAAGCTGCCAGCTCCAAATTATTTCAGATTACGAAAAGCCTGTGTCCACCTCTTGTTCATAACGAGTATTCCGAAAAGCAAGAACAAAAATAGCTCTGACTCAATCCAGGATCCTACAAAAAAGGAAGACAACATCACACAAGGATATATATAAAGAAAAACATATAATTCCCATCACAGATGGAAATATACCTCTAAGAAGCGCACCGCTTTTATGGGTTATGCTTCTTTGAATACCATACTATTTGCCACAAAGGACAGACATAATAATAAACTATATCTGCAATGATGATTGTATAAAATAATTATTCCACGAGCCAATCATATTTATTGAGACTTGAAAAGAATATCATTCCTAACCTTAATGTATCAGTTTCCAACTGTGTTAACTTGATAATAATACTAATGTTAAAATTAAAAGATAACGAAAACTATAACTCACATAGTCAGATCTAAAATTATGTCTCCATAGATATCAATTTAATAATGAGTACTCTCGCGAATTACACAAAGATAGGAAGAGCACACCGCTTGACATGATGTTTCATGTATACAATGATCCATTCGGGCTGTCTCCTTAGCAGAATTATAAACAATACAGACATTGCATGATATATATAAAAATACAAAGGACACATCACTCTGCAACATATCACATAATTAATAGTTCATTATTCATAGAGAATTACCAAAAAGAAAAGTGAGATATATACAAATATTATGAATAAATAAATAAATTAATTAAACATCCTCAAAACAAATAATGAAAAATCAAAAGGTTAAAATAAGTGAAAAAGATTATATCAAAAATAAAAAATAACTTAATAAATATCTAATAAAAAGAGGACAAATAAATAAATAAATAGGTTAATATAGAGTATCTTGAGTAGATATTCATGTTCAATCGTAAAACTTGCAATGTGACTAGATATAAGAGACGATAATCAAATGTATGTACATAAGGGTATAAATATAGGTTAATTGCCGCAAGTTAATGCAATCCAATCAATCAATTCAGTGAATCTGTCTAAAAGACCAGAATAAGTAAAGATTCTAAGCAAATTTCTCTTGCAGCAAAATAAACTATGTAACGAGTCGGAGCCATTAATTGCACTTCAGAAGAATTCAGGTATAACATCAAATAGGTTAAACGTCCGTTCAGATACTAACATGTCAGGCGTGACACGTTAGAGTGCACAAATGTGCACTCGAAATCAAACCGACAGATTCGCTCAACCAATCATAAACATAAAGACATACCTGTTACAGTACCAGCATCGTTACGAACAAACTTGTCTAGAATATGGGTTAGCCTAAACTTACATAGATGGTACCACCTGTATCTCAGCAGCATATTCCTATTCTTTATAAGAGTTTATACAAATTATATTAAAACAGAGAGTGATATAAACAAAAAGACACACAAAGATCCATTAATAAGTTGATAAACCACAGTTAGAAGTAACATTATTAGCAAAATGCAGAGATGATATAAAAGAATCGTTCAACCTTTGTTCTTTATCGATATACTTAACAAAGCTTTCCATCTCAAAGAATTATCTCGTAAGTTAAGATTATTAATTAATATAAATACTGATTGAGTTGATATTTAAAGAGTAAACATTTAGTCATTATATGCTATAAAAGTAACTGATATATACCGTAAGTTCACAAATCTCAATTCATAATCCATTAAAGAAGTGAATCATATTAACATATAGAATAATACTTAACAGCATGATTATAATAAGCAAAGATAGTTTACTAAAGAAGTTCTCTTAATCAAAGTAATTAATATAGCACCACCATACGTTATGACAAGGGACAATATCTGCAGCATTATCTGATACAGTCTCAGCATTTATTCTGTTAAAAGACCTTATATAAACTGAGTATACGTATATAAATATAAAAATAACTAGTCACTAAATTACACGCAAAATTAACAGAATAGGAAATAAGAGTACTTATCAATTATATTCTTAATTAGAGATAAGATTAGGAGATAAGATTAGAGAGTAAAGCATAGGACACTTATAGTGCTATCTACATAAATAATTTATATACATCTAAATTAGAGGTTCTCACAAAAGATTCTTCTCAAAGTCAATAGTTTTTATAGGAGGTTCTCACAAAAGATTCTTCTCAAAGTCAATAGTTTTTTATAGGAAATTTTTATCGTCGCTGCATATAACGGTCATAGATGTACCGCAGACATTCATGAACAAAACATACATCAGACATACATTCAACATACCGTTTCAAAAAAATAAAATAAATAAAGAATCACGATCCATCCAAAGCAGCCAGGCATCCAGAATAGACAGACTCTCAAAATTAAATTTAAGCAGAGCATCCACGGGCTACATTATAATCTGCACTCAGAATTGCCATAAAGTCGCTCAGCAGCATGATGATTACACAACACTTAATTAAAGAACAGTCACCTTAATAGTACATTTTAACTTTCTCAAAAGTTTATTAAATATTAATTATGTGGCAAGTAGTTTGCTGCACCACAAAGAAAATACTATTACACTGAATATATCAAATAGGTCTAGAATAGATCCGCGTATAACACAAAACTTCTCTATGCATATACGGCACAACTGATAACATCGAATTGTTGTATCTCGAGAGGTACGCTGATCGACTTGCCGTTTAGCCATATTGTCTTTATCACTCTCGATAGCAGAAATAACACCATCTTGACAGCCACGACTTAATGTTATATAAGAGATAAATGATAGAACAATTAATTAATTGATCTGAATGTCACGTACGATGATAATTCAGCAGATTTGAGGATATATAACAAGTGAAAAAATAATAGCATTCGAAGTTTATAATAATTAACGGAGTATACGATACATACAAAACGCGGAATAATGTCGGCAGGGACAGAAACACTCCGCATATCCTACATAATATAATACTCATAATTAGTAGAATTAAAAGTTTGACTTAATAAAAAGTATATAATTACACACTTTGCACCATTGCGAAAATATTGAGAAAAGAAATAAAACACAGAAATAGAAAATAGGATACTACAAAGTACACACTCAGCGGAGCGCTACAGCAGCACGTCCGCTCACTACCTCAGCCCCTGTGCGACTCTAGCTAACCTACCTAACCTTTGAAACAGCAAACCGACTTTGCCATTTAAATATTCGCAGTGCGATCTAACTTTAAGGCTATCAAAGCCTATCAAAATGCACGCCAAGATACCTAACCGACGTCTTAAATTTGATACTTTTCCCGCGAATTTTTATTATCGGCGGCCTATCTCCGAAGTCGACGGCTTTCTTCCCGTTCGTTTTTCGTTTTCGGTCCGGCCGCGCTCCTCCCCGTCTTCCTATTGGATTTCGCGCTATTCCTTCCGATCTGAGAAGAGTTTCAATCTTACAATCGAAGAGCTGAAGCTTCGCGACCCTACACCAGTCCTCAATCCGGTCTACCGCACGTTGATCCTCTATTTCAATTTCCCGGCGCGAGTTTCCGCTAACGACCACTGCGAGATCGTCAGCGTACGCAACGAATTTAAATCCCGCGTCCTCCAACAACCGCAAAAGACCATCGAACATGAGGTTCCAGCAGATCGGATCAAACACGGATCCCTGCGGGCATCCCCTCGCCGCCCGCCTGGACACCTCCACCGAGCCGAGCCGAATCCCGACTACACGATTTTCGAAAAAGCTTTGGAGGACGCTGTAAACGTTTCGCGGGCAGTCGCGCTTCTTTAGACTATCTAACACGAGGGGCCACCAGACATTGTCAAAGGCCCCGGAAATGTTGAAGAGAAGAGCGACGGCGTATCTCCCCCCGGAGGCAGTGGCCATATGCCGCAACAGCGCCCTCCGCCGACCTTCCGGGCATAAACCCGAACTGTCGACCGGAGACCCCACCTGGCGCCAATGACGTGCCCATGAGGCGAGACTTGAGAAGTTTCTCAAACAATTTCCCTACGACGGAGAGGAGACAGATGGGTCTGTAGGACTTTGGGTCCCTCTCGTCCCTCCCCTCCCCCTTCAGAAGGACCCGAAGCGAGCCCGCCTTCCAGACCCGAGGGGAAGACGCCCCATCGAAGGCACCCATTATACAACCTAAGGAACTGACCGGGGATTACCCTGCAGGCCGCCTCAACACAGCGACCTCTATCCGATCTGGCCCCGGGGGCCTTTATTATTTTTAAATGTTCTCACCGCCGCAGCCATTTCCGCCACCGTGAAGAAAGGTGTATCGGCTGTAGGGAGACACCCTAGATAAAGATCTAATTCCACGCTGTTCTGGCGTATCATCGTTTTCCCGGTCTTCTGGGACGTGCACGTCCAGAAGGCAGCCGGCGGTTTCCTCCAAGGTCTTCGTGGAGCCATCGCCACACCGGAGTGCGCTCAACACACTCTCCACCCGGAGTTTGCTCGCTTGGTGCCTATAAACGAAGCCCCAAGGCTCCGAATTCCCGTTCGATGTGACGAACTCCCGCCAGCTTGCGAGCTTCGCCCTCCTCACCTCTCGGCTGTATTCTCGCAAAGATGTGCGGTACTCCAGCTTTAGAACGAGGCGAGTGGGCTCGTCCCGCTCCATCTGAAAGGCACGCCTCTTCCTATACGCGCTCTTTTTGAGCACCGTCAGCTCTCTCGTCCACCACGGGTTGGACTTTCTAAATTGCCTTTTTCTCAGCATCGACGCGGAGCAGGCTTCGGTGAGAACCGTCGCCATCCTCTCTGCCATTACCTCGATACGATCCGCGGAACACAATTCGAGGGCCTCCAGTTTTGATCGTGAAAGATCGGTCAGGCTCTCGGAGAATCGCTCCCAATCAGCACGACGAGTGTCGAACCTCGTGCTCGCGATCCCCCGGTCTTCGCCCGACCCCTTTGGCACTCTCAGCCTTATGTCCACGGCGCTGTGATCGCTGGTCGTCCACTCCTGCCTTACTTTCCATTCGCCGATGAATTGGCTCATGGAGGGCGACGCCAGGGTCACATCGATGTATGATGCGCCCCTTGCCGTCCAGAAAGTGGGACCCTGCCCAGCGTCATTCGCAACGCTCATGCCAGATGCCCGAATGAGGTCCTCAAATTTGGCACCTCTGTCGTCGGTCTGCTGGGGACCCCAGAGTGACGACCGGGCATTGGCATCTACGGCAACTAACAGTCTCTCCCCCCTCAGCGAATGAAACACCATCTCGAGGTGCCTGAGGTGAGTCTCGATATCATTATACTGGAAGTAGCACGACACAACGTATAGCGAGAACCCAGGGGCCTGCACTTCCGCACACACACAGTGCATCGTGCTAAGCTGCGAGACAAACAATAATTGGAATTGAGGGTTACAGACCGCCACTGCAGCCCACGGACGTTGCGAGCGTACGGCAGCCACCCTCATCCCGACACCTAGCCCTACGAAGATGTGGCGCTGCCCCGCGCCCTGCTTCCTGACGTGGGGTTCCTGCAATAACAGGATGTCAAGTCGTTTCTCCGCGACGAGCTGACGCACCTCTTCCGTAACCACAGTCGAACGCCGCATGTTCAACTGCAGTATCCTAACTTTCGTGGACACTATCGAAGATTTCGAAGCATCGGCCGTCCGCTTCACCGGCGACCGAGGACCTAACCTCGATACAAACTGGGACTGGGGGGTATTTGCAGACTTTTCCGTCGCGTTCAATGCGGAATCTAGGTCGTTCACGGATCCGATCGCGTTTCTATTATCCCTACATG